AGATCCTTGACACCATAGGGACAAAGCAACCTGCTGGATTGTCACTAAATCCACAAACATCCACTCCCTCCACCACCAACGCTTAGTAGCAGCAGTGTGTATTATCTACAAAATGCACTGCAGAAATTCACCAAAGATCCTCAGACGGCACCTTCCAACCCGACGACCATTTCCATCTCGAAGGACAAGGGCCACAGACATTTGGGAACACCACCACCTTCAAGTTCCCCTCCAAGCCACTCACCATCCTGACTTGGAAATATATTGCCGTTCTTTCACTGTCGCTGGGTCAAAATCCTGGAATTCCCTCCCTAATGGCACTGTGGATCAACCCACAGCAGATGGACTGCAGCGGTTCAAGAAGGCAGCTCACCACCGCCTTCTCAAGGGCAACCAGTGCTGGGCAAGAATTGCTGGACAGCCAGCGACACCCACATCCCACAAATGAATTGGAAAAAAAATGCAAACGCACAAGTTTTTTTTAAAATTGTTACTTATTCATGGAATTTGGGTGTTGGTGGCTGGATCAGCATTTTTTGCCAATCCATAATTTCCAGGAAGGGGCAGTTCAGAGCAGTGGATCCAAATCTTTTCAATATAAGGCACTCCTCAATGAGACAAACAGTGCTCCAGCACACCCACTTTTCTTGCCTGAATTGATTCCTCATAAATGTCACATTTATTTGCATATATAATGGTTATTGCCTTACTAGAGAGGTTTACAACATAGTGCATACAAGAAGCTAAAGAAGAATCTAAAGCATTAATGTTTGACATCCACTGGAAAAAATATACTATCTTCATTTACGGGCACCAACTCATTTTCAAAATCTGTTCAACTCAACTGTTTGCTATCTTCTATCTGCAGATGAGGTATTCACTTAGGGGACAAGTGGCATTTCCCATCCATGAAAATCCAAAGGCCAGATAGCTCTCAGTGTACTATCTCTCAACAGTTCTTCCTACTTTTTTCTTTAGGATCAGATATTTAATCTTTTGAATTAATCTTTTGACAAGAAACTTTTCCATTTCTTCTTAGAATCCATTGTAAGACTTAGATCAGTGGCTTAACGAAAAAGAAATTCTGAAACTGTTCACCTTAAAATCTATGTTAATGTGGAATGTGTCCAGGCAGGCAGTCCAGTTCATCAATTGTGCACAGTTTCTTTGCATCCCGGAGATATGATCTGCGATCATGCTCATATCAAATGTTTGAGTCTGCACGTGTAAAGACAGGCTGCATAATGAGCAGATTTTCCATCTTCTGCGCATCTGCAGTGATCAATGTCCATGCATGTGTGGTGCTGAATCCCTGCACATGCATGGTATTGGAAGTCTGCAGGAAACAGTGCTGCTTCCCAAGATTTTTGTGGCAAACTTCTCACCTTACCAGGGCACACCATTTGAAAACCTCTGGTTTAGAGAGAACCACAGCGCTGTAGGTCTGAAGTTATATGTAGGTAAGACCAGGTAAGGCTGGTAGATTAAAAGCAAAATACTGCAGATGCTGGATATCAGAAACAAATACAGAATTCTGGAGAAATTCAGCAAGCCTGACAATATCTGTCAAGATAGAAATAGAGATGACATTTTGAGTTTGGCCAGACTCTGCTTCTGAAGAAGTAAAACTCAATGAAAAGAGTCATAGAGGACTAGAAATATTAATGATTTCTCTCCACAGTTGCTGTCAGACCTGTTGAGTTTCTCCAGCATTCGCCGTGTTCATTTTAATAAAAAAATTTCAACCCAACTTCTGCAATTCTCTCAACCCTTTGATTGGTTTGAATGTTTCTCTGTTTGTGAATGTAGACAAAAATCACGTAGACAATTAGAATCAAATTATCTGTGAATAATTAACAAGCACCTGTGGAGCATAATTCAGTTGATTCTCAAAGTCCCCAGCACAAGACATGAACATGAGTATAGGCTTCTTCAGCTGATTGCCTCATTTCTAAACTGTGAATACAAGAAAATACAGTATTTCTCAGTAATTTTGCATATTTAGCCAGAAGTTCATTAGAAAATCTTTAATTGTAAGCAGGAATATCCTGGTTGAAGCTGGGAGCTGTGTTTTTGAAATTTTCAAAGACTGCAGTTGCCAAAAGAACAAATACATGATTTATCGGCTATTTATGTAAAAGCTATGTTTGCACTATGAGCTTAGACGTCAGAGATCTTAGGACGTTACTGGGAACTGGCAGGTCTAATAATGGGACTGATTCCCTTCTGCATCTCCACATGACTTCCTCTGTCCTGACCTCAAAGCCTAGCCTGATGCTCATGTTGACATTTACAGCCCCTGGCTGTCTATCAGTGCTTTGATTAAAGTTCATTCGTTTATTATGTGACTGCGCAGTAAGTGCAAGCAGCTTTTATTTTCACTTTATTGCACAGGGATTGGATTACAAAAAATGAAGAAATGTTACAATTGTACAGGGCCTTGGTGAGACTACATGAAAAACACTATCCCTACAATGTGGAAGCAGGCTGTTCGGCACATCAAGTCCACACCGACCCTCCGAACAGCATTCCACCCAGACCTGTAACCCTGCATTTTCCATGGCTAATCCAATTAGCCAGCACATCTCTGGACAGTACGGGCAATTTAGCAAGCAATCCACCTAACCTGCATGTCTTTGGACTTTGGGAGGAAACCCGAGCATATGGAGAAAACCAACACAGACAATCGCCCAAGGATAGAATCCAGTCCAGGGCCCTGGCACTGCGAGGCAGCAGAGTTAACCACTGAGTCAGCCTTGATTCCCAGACTGGGAATCAAACCTGTGCCGTGAAGGTTACAGCACCGAATCCTAACCACTAGACCACCAGGGAAGTGGACAATGTGGCATCAATCCCACAACCTCTCGCACTCAAAGCGAGCACCCTCCTGTTTGCGCTAATTCCGCAGCACCAATGCTCCATGCATAAGTGGGTTGTCCAATAATGAGATTTTGAATAAATTGGGTCCATATTCCCTGGAATTTCAAAGAAATTGAGGCAGTCTTACCAAAACATCCATAATTCTGAAATGTTTTTTGACAGACTCGAGTTTGAGAGGTTATTTCTACTGTGATAGAATCTGAAACGCGAGGTTTCATGGGAGGGAGTGTTTGGCACATTGTCAGGTGAAGGAGCCAATTATGTAAGCCTGAGAAGTAAAAAAAAATGTTTCACTCAAAGGCTTGTGATGTTTTGGAATTCTTGACCCAGGTATTTATGTATATTCCATCATTGTATACATTTAAGCTTTTTTCAGTCTTTTAGGGAAACAGGGATATGGGGAGTGGGTGAGAAGGTGGAGTTGAAGCTGAAGTTTGGCCACCATTGTACTGAATGGAGGAGCAGACTTAATAAGCAGTATGGTCTACTTCTGTATATACAAACTGTAAATACAAACTGATTCCACCATGTTGCATGCTGATTCAAAAATGACTTTGAAAAGAACATGGGCTGATCCCTTGCAATTTGCCTACTCATGCAACAGGTCCACAGCAGATGCCATTTCCCTAGCCCCACACTCATCCCTGGAACATCTGGATACCTACGTCAGACTTCTATTTATTGACTATAGCTCTGCCTTCAACACTATTTTCCCAACCAAACTAATCTTAAAACTCTGAGAACTAGATCTCTGCTCCTTCCTCTGCAACGGAATCCTCGACTTCCTGACCCACAGATCACAATCAGTGAAGACAGGCAACAGCACCTCCTCCACGACAATCTTCAACACCGGCAACCCGCAAGGATGCATACTTAATCCTTTCCCTGTATTTCCTGTACACTCATGGCTGTGTGACCAAACTCTGTCCGAACTCCATCAACAAATTTGCTGCTGACACCACCATTGTAGGCCACATATCAAACAGTGATGAGACAGAATACAGCAAAGCGATAGAATGCTTGGTGATGTGGTGCGAAGAGATAGAATGCTTGGTGACATCGTGCAAAGATAACAATTTCTCACTCAGTGTCAATAAAACTAAAGAGCTGACCATTGACTTCAGAAAGCGAGAAGGACACACCACTTTCTACATCACTGGAGCTAAAGTGGACATGGTCGACAGGGTCAAATTCCTAAGAGTGATGATCACCAACAATCTGTCCTGGACAACTCACACTGATGCAATGGTCAAGAAGGCGCAACAACACCTCTTCTTCCTCAGGAGGCTAAGGAAATTTGGCATGTCCACAAGGATCTTAACCAACCTTTACAGATGCACCATGGAAAGCATTCTGTCTGGATGCATTATGGCCTTGTATAGCAACTGCAGTGCCCGGGACCATAAGAAACTCGAGAAAGTTGTGAATACAGCCCAGACTATCACGCAAGCTAACTTTCCATTCATTGACTCCATCTATACTTCTTGTTGCCGCAGAAAAGCAGCCAACATCATCGAAGACCCCTCCCACCCCTGTTATAATCTCTTTCCAATCTCTTGTGTCAGGCAGAAGATACAAAACCTTAAACACATGTACTAACAGGTTTAAGAACTGCTTCTTCCCCACTGTTATTAGACTTCTAAGTGAACCTTTCAAATTTCAAATCTAATGTTGATTTTGTTTTTTGTACACCTTCTTTGCATCCGTAACTTTGTATTCCTTGCTCTGTTTACTCACCCTGTAACCTTTGTGTCTTTGTATATTATGATCTGCCTGTACTGCACGCAAAACAAAGCTTTTCATTGTACTTAGGTTTCTGTGACAATAATAAATCAAATCAAATACCCTTGTCAGCAATAGCCACCTTGCAAGCAGGAATAAAACCATTCTTTATGTCCAATCAGTTGGACTTTGCAGAGCTAAATACTTGAGGAGCAGGAAACCTGGATGCAAGCTGGAATATATTGGAGCTAATAGCAGAACCCCCTTTTGCTGTCTCCTCTCTCAAAGCTGCATGGACTTTGCTGCCTTGGCACATTTAGTGATCTTTCCTTTACTCTCAGTGCTACTACAGGGTGTCTCGCAGTGCTTCTTTCCACATTTGGCAGATGATGCTGTACCTGCAAGTCAGAACACATGGTGAGAATGTTGGCATCATCGGCCGTGGTAATCTCCTTGATGTGGTCGGAAGGCTGAGCACTCTCAATTGTCTTTTCTGTCTTCAGCAGTGACGTGGCCAGAGTAGGCAAGCTGGATTTCCACATATTCACATCTGTCCCATTGCCAAAAGCTTGCATTGCATTTCCTGCAGAAAAAAAAGGCTTTTTTAAAGAAAAGAAATCATTCACAGGTTTTGTCACCTTAGTTCATTAACATGAATCTGATCAAGTTACTCTAAGATGCACTGTTGCCTGTTATCTGATGGAAGATTTTCCCCCATGAATCTAAATCATGTATTTATATAGCATTCTTAATATACTAAAGTGTTGCAAGGTGCCTCACACCTTTTTAGTCAGAATGTGATGCTGGGCCATACAGAGATTATGCAATGGTCATAATGGAGGAAATTCGAGAACTCAGGGTTCTGGCAGCTGAAGCACAGCTAGCAATCATGGAACGATGGAAATTGAGGCTCTGTTCTCAGAGAATTGTACAGCTGGAGGATATTACAGGGCAAGGCCTTGAATAGATTTTAAAACAAGAATGATGATTTTAAAATTCATATGTTGTTGGATGAGAAGCAAATGTGCAGTGCAATCAGGGGGTAATGGATGAACAGGAATTACGCTCGCTAGGATTTCAGCCAGCAAAGTTTTTGATGAGTCAAAAGCTCCAAGGGATGCAGATGAAAATACTTTGATTGTTTCTGGACTTCTGTTCAAACTTGTTTATGTTGTCTCCTCTGTTGTGCTTCAACTAAAACAGCATAGAATATAACAGCAAAAAAGCAATGATAAATACCCACAGTCGCTTGATCACAGTTGGAGCATTGTTTTGATCACCCAATTATACAAGCAATATTAAGGTCATGGAGACTTGCTTTTTGACAAAGACACTGGGAAAAATATACTAATTTAAATTTTAAAGGTTCCAGTAGAGCTTAACGTTGTTCAGATGTTCTCCTGGACCAGCGCACCAGTATTTGTGTTGGGTAAACTGGGTAAACTTCCACAGCAAATGTGAATTCTTCCTGACCCCATGTTATTGTGCATTAACTAAAGTGGGCATGGTTGTACATCGCACAAGTTTACGCATTTACTGAGCGAGGGAATAATTTTCCTTGTGCAGAGGGAATTTTTATCTGGCATTTGGAAGGTAGAACTCACCACAAGTTGTGGTTAAGGCAAATATTATCAATCCATTTCAAGGAAATCTCCAAAGTAGATGAGAGGGTAAAGAAGAGAAGGATGTGTTTATTTTATTTTATTTTTATTCACTCACAGGATGTGGACGTTGTTGGCTGGCCCAGTGTTTACTGCTCGCCTCCAGTTGCCCTTGAGAAGGTGATGGTGAGCTGTCTTTTTGAACCACTCTAATCCATACACTGAAGGTCAACCCACAATCCACGTGCTGATAGGGTTAGGAGAAGAAGGGTAAGAGGAGGCTCATGTGGAACTAAAATACTGGCGTGGACCAAATGGGCCAAAAGGCCTGTTTCTGTGTCTGTCACCATAGGTTTGTGGGAAGCATTTGGGAGACAGTGGTGTAATGCTCATGTCCCAAGGGAGACACCCATGGGGACGTGAATTCAATTCCCACTCGCAGCTGTTGAAATTTTAAAATTAGTATAAAATCTGGAAGTAAAATCTAATCTCAGTGATGACAATCATGAAACGATCATCAGTGGCTGCTAAACCCATTTGGTTCATTTTTGCTTTTTAGACAAGGAAATCTGCTATCCTTGTCCAGTCTGGCCTACATGTGTTTCCAGACCCACAGCTATTATGTGAATCTTAACTGCCCTAGCAAACCATCGTTTCATTGGTATTTCAATATCAGCAATGGATTCTGGCTTTGCTATTGACATCTGCTTCTCAGGAAAGACAAGAATGAGAAACACTGGGGCTTGGCTGCCAACCTCCATTTGCTCCTTTGCTCTCACCAATAAAGAGCACACAAGCACAAGTTATGTCCTGAAACAGACAGCAAAATCTTGCCACTCTTTTCCCTTCTAGTTTGAAACCTTGAACAGTTTACTCTTGTATACAAGAAAATGCAGAACCTGCATTTATATGACACTTTTTATCCAAATTAATCTTAATTTAACCCATGAAATACTTTTCAAGTGTATTCACTGTTGTCATGTAAGGAAACATGGCAGTCAAGTTACACAAGCTCCTGTAAATAGCAGTATGAAAATGACAGGAGAATCTGATTTTATGTGATGTTAATTGAGAGATAGACATTGGTCAGGACACCGTGGAGAACTCATTTGCTCTTCTTCAAAGATTATGCCATGAGATCCATTAGGTGACACTGGCCATGTCATAGCAAATAATCAAAGATTCAGCTCTACTTTGTTCGAACCACAAGACTTTGAATGATGATCCAAGATTACTGTGATACTGCCATTGAGCTACAGTTATACTTACAACATTTTCTCTTTGCTATTTATTAGTTAGGAGATGAATGCCTAAGGCACTGTCAATAGTTCTTTTATATTCCTTGGGCCTGAGGGACATGTGGATCGTCCAGCTGAAAATGTATCTTGACAGAAGTATAACAAAGGAAACATGTTACTCCATCTCAGCACATTACTATACTTACTGAGGCAGGTGTTTGCTTTGAAATAGTTCAGAAACTTGTCGCATTCTTCTTTCTGGTTTCCACTGCCACTGCATGTGCACCATGGGGCCACCACGATGTCAGTTGCGTCTATGTAATTTGGGGTCATGTCACTTCCTGTTGAGGAAAAGATGTAGGTTAAACTCAGCTGATTGTGACCTGTCACATAACAGTTTTGAAAGAAAAACTTCTCATTTTCATAAAGCCTCTGAACGTCTTGAGGTGCTTCACAACCAGTCAAAAATCTTTTTCAAACTGAATTGTCATGTAGGAAACAAAGAAGCCAATTTTCAAACAGCAAAGTCCCACAAATAGCAATGTGATGATGCTGTGATCATCTACTTTTTATATATTGATTGATGGATGACTGTTGGCTTTAGGACAGGAACAAGTATTTGGACATCATCTGGTTCGACTCATTAGACTCAGAATAATTTGTTTTCATTATTTTGAAATGGTTCCTTTCAGAAAGTTCCAAAAAAGGCATTAAGACCCTGACAAGCACCAGTCAGGGACCCTTCGCCTGCTTCACTTTCAGGCTTCAGATTCCTGAACACTGCCTGTATTAGTTTTTGCAATTGGCATACTTAAGGTTGAATTCTCAGGGCCCAAACATTTACTGTAAAAGTCCTATCAACATTTTTGAAGTTTTCTGCTCTGCCTATTATTGCCTGAATTTGTAAAGTAATTCTATTTAAAGCCCGTTTTGGTGAATGAGGCTTTTCATGTGAACTTTTTTTTTATGCAGCATTACATGAGATGCTGAGCTTCACTGATTGCTGATGAGAGGACAAATGACAAAATAACCCAAACAGAAGGAAAATGTAGTCTTACACAAAGCTAGTTTTGAATATTTATTTTTAAAAGTTGCCTGCAACAATTTTCAGTCCTGTTAACTTTTTAGAACCAATCTGACAAGTGAGTTATTTTCAGAAGCCTGAATAACCTGTATTGCGAAAGTGCTGAAAACACCAGGCTTTGGCAGAGATCATAACCTGTCTCACCTTATTTTCCTCAGTATCCCTGTAGCTGGGAAAGGGAGGTGATTGGGGGTGAGGGGAGGGGTAGGGTGAAGGGATATGGATTCGGGGGAGTGGACAGTGGGCAAGAAGAGATACATTTCCTGATCTTTTTCCATTCCTTGTTCTCCAGCCCCAGCTGGGATGTTCACACGGAGTGCAGGAGCATATTTCACATTATCAGCCCCATATGGTTTAACAGCTGCCACAAAGACTAGGAGGAGCACTGGTGAGATATACACATTTTTTAGGCATCAGAGACAAGTTGAAAGAGAAATAAAGCTGCCTAAATATTTCAATTTTCACATGACAATCTCCATCTTGAAGTGCTGGCTGTAGATTCATCCCTGAAACACAAGGTTCCAGGTTTAATTTCTATTCCAGGACTTCAGTACAAAATTTCAGGCTGACACTCTGGTGCAGTGCTGAGATAGTAGTGTTGGAGGTGCTGTCTTTCAAACAAGAAGTTGAACAAAGAACTCTATCAGCTTCCTCCACTAGATGTTAAAAAAATTCTATGGCACCATCTCAAAAAGTCATAAGTCACACAACACCAGGTTATAGTCCAACAGATTTATTTGAAAGCTTTTGGAGCACTGCCTCTCTGTCAGATGATATCTGATATCAGGGGCAATATTTGTTTCATAATCATCATCAGACCTGATTGTCTGGTGACTTTCACATTCAGTACGAGAGTCAGCTGCACACAGTTGATGGCTGTGCTTTCTATATTACATACAACAGTGACTACATTCGTGCTACATTGGCTGAAAATCAAATTGAAATGTTAGTGGTCATGTGAATTGTTACATAAGTGTAAGTTACTCATCTTTTACATTGTGTGACATTCTTGCCTGTTCATCTGTTTTCCTTCCTGCCTCTGAATATTCTTCATTAATCATCAACTCTAGCCAAGCTTTCAAAAGTACAGCTCATGAACGATCTAATGGTGATACAGGTATGAAGAATGAACTTGCATTTGTACATCACCTTTTACATCCTCTGGATGCCCGAGAGCATTGTTCAACCCATGAATTACTTTATTCATGAATAGACACTTCAGTAACTTGGGAAATGTGGCAGCCAGTTTTCACTCAACAAAACTCTCCCAAATAGTAACGAGATCATGACTAAGTTTTCTGCTTTATAATATTGACTGATGAATAAATATTGGTCAAGCTACTAATGATAACTCTTCTGTTATTTTCCCGGAATCTTTCATATCCACCCAAGACAGCAGAAGCAACATCACTTAAGCAACTCATGCAAAGTCTGCATCTCCAACAGCACAGCGTTCCCTTCACGACTGCTTTGGCAGTGTAAGCCAGAGAAGCAGGCTCTGAAATAGGATTTGAAGCCATTGAGCCCTCCCTCAGAGGCTGCTCAATATGTTTCATGCCAGGGACTCAATGTTTCTTGTTCGTGTCTGTCTGCAGTGTATCCTGCAGTACAGCACTGAATACACATGCTGTTAATGTTCAGTTGTAACGGGGGAGCAGTCATGTACCTATATTATCAGCTATGACAATATTGAATGGTAAAACAAGCTTCCTTCTGCTCCTACTTTCTACATTCCTTTGTTTCTATCACTGCAGTTGTTATGCGTGAGGGGAAGCAGCCTCAAAGTTATACACAGATGTATCATGGAGCAGCTCAGAAAACATGGATATATTTCAACGCTTTAACCTATCCACACTAAAATAGCAGGTTCAAAAGAACAAAACACAACTTGACTGTAAAAATTGGAAAAGATTACAGGAAATGAATTTGTTTCTCTCTAGCATGTTATGATAAATTCATCACACTGAAAGACAAATTTGTGTTCTTTTGAAGTATTCTTTCAAAGAATATTTCTGTCTCTGCCAATACTAGCATTAATTGTCTTCATGAGATGTTGAGCCACCTTCTTGAACCACTGACTCCCTGGAGTGTAGATACACTCTGTTGTGAGAAGTGTGTTCCAGATTTTGACCCAGCAACAGTTTAAGACTGTGATATAGTTCCAGTTGATGTCAGTACTTGGGTTCAGAAGGAGCTTGTGGATGGTTGTATTCCCACTGATCTGCTGCCCAAGCCCTTCTGAATGATCCTGTTACAGCTTTGGAAGGTACTGCTGAAGGGATCGTGCTCAGTTCCTGCACTGTAGATTGTTGGTACACACTGCAGTCACTGTGTCTGTGGTGGAAAGATTGACTGTTGAAGATGGTGGATGGAATACAGATCAAGTGGGCCGCTTTGACATGGATAATGTGGAGTTTCTTGAATGTTGTTACAGCTGCATTCAGGCAAATGGAGAGTGTTCAATCACACGTATGACTTGTGCCTTGCAGATGATGGACATGCTTTGAGGATCCAGGCAGTGAGTTACTTGTCACAGAATTTCCAGCTTCTGGCCTTTCCTTATAGCCATTGTATTAATAAGGTCAGTCCGGTTAATTTTTTTGTCACAACGTGTGTCGTGGACTCAGGAAGCGACAAGTGCTTTGTAGCTATGTCAGACGGCACTCTACATACAGGGAGAACTGACAGTCATCTTGTTTAAAACAAACTTGCATCAGTGGAGAGTGAGAAGAATGGCCATATATTTGCTGACATCAGAGTGGTGATGGTATTTTGAAGTCTGATTATGCACACAAAGATGAAGAAAGGAACACATTCCCAAGGAAAATTAATGCAAATCTTACTTAAAACTGAAACTTACAGGGAAAAAAACCTAACCTCCAATAGATTAGTGGGAGTCCCAACTCACCAATGAGCCCTGAATAGGAGAGTAAACAAGCTGCATAGTTCTCACGGAAACAACCACTCAGTGATTGCGCAGAGGGTTGACAGTTCGTCAGGAAATCTGCTAGACGAGACCTGCAGGATAAAGCGAAGAAGAAATTAGTAAATTTGTTAATCAGAAGGTTGGCATGAGTTGATATTCATATCTCACCACTTTAATCGCTGAGAAAACTGAATAGGCACTGGGAGCAATGAGCAATGTATCAAGAAGCACATGGTGAGCAAAAACATAGGAATTAGGATTAGAAGTGGCCCTCTGACCCCTCAAGCCTGCTCCATCATTTGATTAGGTCCGAGTTGATCTACTTGTGTTTCAATTTCCACATTCCCATTTATTTCACTCACCTTTGAATTCCTTGCCAAACAACGATCTAGCTACCGATGCCTTAAAATATTCAATTAGCTCACCTCCGCTGCCTTCTCAGGCAAGAATTCCAAAGCCGCACAACTCTGAGAGAAAAAGAAATTCTCCTTATCACAGTACTAATGAGCAATGCCTAATTTTTAAACAGTGGCCCATTGCTCTTGACTTACTCATTTTGCCCCAACTATTCAGATCCTATAGTCTTCAATCAGGTCACTCTTCATTTTCTAACTTCCAGTGAAAGTAAGTCCAGCCTGTCCAAACTTACCTCATTAAACAACCCATTTATTCCAGGGACCATTATAGTAAACCTTCCCTGACTATGTCAAATACATTTCTATCCTCTTTTAAATAAAGAGACCAAAACTGCACACTGTTTTCAAGATGTGGTCTCAGTACTAGTCTATAACTGAAGCACGACACCCTGATTTGATTTGATTTGATTTATTGTCACATGTACAAAAGTGCGATGAAAAGCTTTGTTTGTGAGCAGTACAGGCAGATCATAGTGAGCAAAGACGTACAGATCATATGGTGAAAAAATCTTGTATAGAGTAAGGCATACAGATTACACTGCACAGGACATATTTGATGCAATATCAACGTTCACAAGGTGAACATTATTTGAAGTTAGAGGGTCCATTCATCAGTCTAATAACAGCAGGGAAGAAGCTGTTCTTGGACCTGCTGGTGCGTGTGTTCAAGCTTCTGTATCTTCTGTGTGATGGAAGATGTTGTAGGAGGGCATTACCAGGGTGGGAGGGGTCTTTGATGGTGTTGGCAGCCTATCTGCGGCAACGAGACGTGTAAGTGGACTCCATGGATGGGAGGTTGGCTTCTGTGAAGGTCTGGGCTGTGCACACAGTCTTCTGCAGTTTCTTACAGTCCTGGGCAGAGCAGTTGCCATAACAGACCATTATGTACTGGGACTGTAACTGTAAAAGTTGTTGAGGGTCTTTATGCACATGTCAAAATTCCTGAGCCGCCTAAGGAAGAAGAGGCATTGTTGTACCTTCTTGACCATCGCATCTGCATGGGAAGTCCAGGAGAGGTTGTCAGTTATCGTCACTCCTCAGAACTTGATCCTCCCAACCTTCTCAACCGCTGCTCCATTGATGTAGATGAGGGTGTGTTCTTCTCCTTCCTTTCTGAAGTCAGTGAATAGTTCCTTAGATTTGCCATTGTGAGAGAGGTTGTTATCATTGCACCACGTCACCAAGCCCTGTATTTTCTTCCTGTATTCTGACTCATCGTTGTTTGATATCTGTCTCACCAAGGTGGTTTTGACAGCAAACTTGTAGATGGCTTTCATTTGGAATTTGGCAACACAGTCGTGGGCGTACAGGGACTGAGAACGCATCCTAGTGGGGGCACCAGTGTTGAGTGTTATCATGGAGGAGGTGCAGTTGTCTGTCTTTATTGATTGAGGTCTGTGGGTCAGAAAGCTGAGGATCAAGTTGAAGAAGGTGGAGCCGAGACCTAGGTCTTCGAGTTTTAAAATCTGTCTGGAAGAGATAATGGCGATGAAGGCAGAGCTGAAGTCGATCAGTGGAGTCTGACGTAGGTGTCCTTGTCCATATTTTCCAGGGATGAGTGCATTACTAGGGAAATGGCATCTGCTGTGGACCTGTCACGTTGTTAGACAAATTGCAGGGGATTGAGGCAGGCTGGGAGACTCAAGTTGATATGGACCATGACCAGCCCCTTGAAGTACTTCATGCTTATGGAGGTCAGCTACTGGGCAATAGTCATTAAGGCACATTGCACATGCTTTCCTAGGTACAGGAATGATGGTGGTTTCTTGAAGCACGTGCGACTTTGGGTTGTAGAAGGGAGAGGTTGAAGATATCAGTCAATACCTCTGCCAGCTGGTCTGCACAGGATCTAAGTGCATAGCCGGGGACTCTGCCCAGCCTGTCGCTTTCCTTGGGTTGACTCCTGGGAAGACCGATCTGATGTCTGCAGTGGTGAAAGCAGGCACAGGTGCGTCCAGGGCCGTCGGGGCAGGTGATGCCATGCCACTGGCATTCTGCTTGAATCGAACATAGAAAGCATTGAGCGCATCAGGGAGGGATGTGTCTTTGTCTGCTACCTTGCTCTGCTTCATTTTGTATCCTGTTATGTTGTTCAGGCCTTGCACAGGAGGCAGGAGTCTGTATGGTTGGTTTGGTACTGCCTCTTGGCATCTCTGATGGTTTTGCGAAGGTCATATCTAGATTTCCTGTAGAGGTCTGGGTCATTCGACGTGAATGCTGTCCGCCTGGTTTTCAGCAGGGAGTGGATTTCCCGGTTCAGCCATGGTTTCCGGTTGGGGAACACCCAGATTAACTTCTTTGGCACGCAGTCCTCCACGCATTTGCTAACAAAGTCCGTGATGGTGGCGGCATACTCATCCAGGTTTTTTGCTAAGTACTTGAATACAGTCCAGTCCACAGTTTCCAAGCAGTCCTGGAAATGCTCTTCCACTGCTTTGGACCAGCATTGTATTTCTTTCTGAGCTTCACAATGGATAAATCCTTCCTGAAGCAACAACACTCTCACCAAAAGTTGCAACTTAATTCTTCCATTAACATAAGGACAAAAGAAGTTATATTCTCGGAACACCTTGAGATTGTGAAAGACATTGTGTGATTGTAAGACCTTCTTTGCTTAACCAGAGAAAATGTTTTCGTATAAAGCCAAGAATTGTGGATTCTGGAGATCTGAAACAAAAATACAATCCCTGGAAAAACTCAGCAGGTCTGAAAGCACTGGAACTCATGATGAAGAGTCACTGGATCCAAAGCATTAATTCTGCTTTCTTTCCACAGATGCTGCCAGACCTGCTGAGTTTCACCAACAATTTCTAAAGATGTTTTTAATGATGTTGATTGAGGGATATGTATTTACTAAGGCACCTGGGAGAATGCTAATACAAAAATGAAATCTTGCAGATACTGGAAATTTGACATCAAAAATTCCACTGGAAAAACTCACCAAGTCATGCAGCACCATTGAAGGAAAACAGTTAACATTTCAGATGGTCCATGGGACCTTTTACCTTTGCCTTGGACTGTTGTTCTTCTGACTGTTAAATGTCATCTATTTTGAAGGACTGTCCAAGTATCCTGAGTGAGTTGCTGCAGTGAACATTGTAATCTGCCACTACTGCCAGTGTATATCAGTGGTAGGGGCAATGAATGTTGTAGGTGGTGGATGAGGTGCCAATGAATGAGCTAGCTGCTTTGCTCAGGATAGTATTGAGCTTCTTGAATATTGATGAAACTGCGTTCATCGCAGCAACTGGACAGTATTCCATCACACTGCTGACTTTTCAATGGTGAAGGCATTGAGGAAACAGATGGTGAGTTACTTACTACAGAATTTTCAGCCTCTGACCAGCTCTTGTGGCCACAGTATTTAGCTGGTTCTGTTCACCTTCAAGTCAACGATAAGCCCCAAGATGATAATGATACTGGTAAGAAATTTAAACGTTTGTTATCCACATTTGAGATGGTTGATAGAAGAATTAGAGGGGACATGAGCAGAAACACTTTCACTCTGAGGGTCATAGATGTTTGGAATTCACTTCCCAGTTTGATGATTGAAGCCAAAACCCTGAATTCATTTACAAGAAACCTGGATCTGCAATTGAAATGCTGTAATTTGGAAGGCTACAGGTAAGATAGGGATTCTATGTTAAAATAAAAGGGATTCAAACAGGTGGCTCGTTTGTTCGGTTTAGTGACTCACATGATGGGGCGAATGGCCTCTTTCTGTGTTGTTACTTTTCTCTGGTTCTGTGGTTTGGGATTTTCTGTTTCATTAAGAGTGATAAAGAGATCATGTAACCTGTTCCAAATCCTGTTTGACAAGAATTATGTTTCAGAGATAGTAGGAACTGCAGATGCTGGAGAATCTGAGATAACAAGGTGTAGAGCTGGATGAACACAGCAGGCCAAGCAGCATCAGAGGAGCAGGAAGGCTGACGTTTCGGGCCTAGTCCCTTCTTCAGAAATGCTGTGTTCATCCAGCTCTACACCTTGTTATCTCTGACAAGAATTATGGTTGGCTTGGTTGCTTTGAGGACAGTGAGGTCCAGATTGTATAACTGCAAAGAAGATGCTGAATATTTACAACTTTCGACTGCAGCAACAGCATCAGGTCCAAGTCTCTCACGGCGGTGTTAGGAATGTCCAGTTTTACAAATAATTACATTCTAAACTGCCCAGTTAATTCCAAAATGGAACAGAATTGGGAATGCAATGGAAAGCTGATTAGCATTTCTACCTGGATTCAAGGCCCATGTGATTCACATCGCCTCGAAGATGAGTTTTAGAAAGTGAGAAATCAGTAGGAAGCCACTGGAGGATTGAATTGCATGTTTTCTTAAAATATGAACCTAACTGACACACACGGTCTGTCTGATAGATTCTGAGAGACAAAGTAGAGAGATAAAGGCAGGCAACCAGGGTCTATTGTTAACCAACCAGAAAGCAGGTGGATGCTTGTGTTTGTATTGATTAGATCAAGTTTGTGAGAAATTAAAATGATCTTGGAAATTTTCTCAGGCTTTGGTGAGGAAGCGTCACTACAGACATCAAAACATTAATTCTGCTTTTATTCACAGATTCTGTCAAACCTGCTGACTTTTACAGCAATTTCTCTTTTAATTCTTAGTTTGGAATTAGAAGCTATCCAGTTGGGAAAGAGCTTGGAAGCAATTTTGGGG